CCCAAGAGTTTCCTTACTTTTGCCCTTCTAGTTCTCTCCCCCATCCCACTGTGGGGCAGGGAGGGTGAGCGAGCAGCTGGGTGGTGCTTAGTTGCCAGCTGGGGTTAAACCACAACACAAGATAGCCCTTGCCTTGCCTTGCCAGTGTGTGGCAAGAGTTTCTGCTTTCTTTGCACCTGAAGGTGACACTCCTGCGTGCAATCTTTCTTATAGCTGATTGTTTAATATTCCTTTTCTTAAGACGTGAGGCAACTGTCTTCTTTCTTTGGTGTGCCCCTGCCTTGCAGGTGGTGATGCCTGCTGGGAGTTTCTTAAGTTCAGAGTATCTTTTTACAGTCTGGAGAATATGCGATGGAGAAATGTGCTGGTTTGCTTTGCTCTGAAATTTCCTTGTCCATGTCTACAGCCTCATATGTCGAGTACTGGAGCACAGGAGCCAGACACACAGGGGCTCCAGCCCCAATACATGCTGCCTGTTTCCCTTTGCACAGCTTCCTGTCTTTGGGGCCTACAGAGACAGCCAGCCCAGCCCTGGAGGAGCAGCTCATTTTGGTCTTCACTTCTTTCTCTTCCAAATACCCTGCAAAAGGCAGTTTCATATCCTGTCTGCTTCTCAGGCATTTTGCAAGATAGTGCTCTGTAATCATACTTTCTTTAGCTTGTATTGATATTTCTTCCTGGTTTTTGTCTTTCCTGACTTTCTTTTCTGGCATGATTGATTTGCTTCAACATTTTTCTTTTTAGAGGGTAGCTCAGTTCTCTCCACCTGGCATTCACAAAAGTGAATTGCTTTCCTTGCTTACTTTCTGTCTCAGCCTTGTGAAATAGATGTAAGCAACTCTTGGGCACCAGAGACTTCTTTTGTGATTGAGTCTGTCTTTAAATAAGGGAATAATTGTCCCTTTTGACTGGGTGGATAGGAACCAATGGGAAGCTATTGCTCAAGCACAGGCGGCAGCTCATCCTTTTATTGCATCACTTGCATTGACACACCCTCTGCTGTGTACTCCTCTGATTCACATGGTTCAGGGAAGTACAATTATCTTATAAGTTTACTAAGAATGTTACCTAGTAACCCACACTATTCTTGCATAACACAATTTTTAATTTGAAGAGTGGTGAAGAATAAAACAAGAGACAGAAATTCAATGGATGGCTGTAAGTGGCCTTTTGTGGGAGATTTTATGAATGGATCCTATAGGATCTGGTTGTTGTTGATGGAGAAAAAGCTACCAGAAAACAAGACAAGGAGAAGGGGAGTATGTGCTGAGAGGTACTATGCAAAAATCTCCCAGGGTCTGATAAACTCTGGAGCCCAGGAGTTCTGCTGGAGCTGCAAGACCTGGTCAACCCAGAATGCCAACAGCCTGCCAAATATATACCACCAGTACACACCAGCACCTACAACATGCATAGTAACCCAGACTGCTGCCAGGTAGTGACTGCTGTTTCCAACAAAGGCTACAGGGCTGTGCATACATCTGATGAAACTCGGGGCCCCCTGAGGGATTTTCTGAACACCTGCCTAGAAGCCACCAATGTGTCAATATGCCCTTATGCTGCTGAGTGTCATGCTGCACTTGACCTTGCTGCTGCTGCTCCAACTGGGTAGCTACGAGCAAGTGTGTTAACAGCACAAGGGGAGCAAGAGACGTGCTTTGTGAATAGCCATCTGCTTCTAGTAATAACTGCTTGGCTCTCCCAAAAATAACTGTTAATTAATAAAAAGTGTTCTAAATAATGTTGGCTGTGATCTTTGGCTCTCCCAAATATTTTTTTTTTTTTTTTTAAATGAGGGAAAAGTGAATTTACAACAGAAAAACTCATTTCCCAAAGAAGAGCTTTTAGGGGCTGCAGAAACTCATTGTTCCTGTGAGAAGTATAACATCCTGAACCAATTTCTTGACTTAAATGACTCAATGCTCAGAAAACAAGAAACTTGTCCTATCCTGTTGCTCTGAAACATGCATAAAATACCACGTCTGCTGTTATTTTGTTCTTTGAACTGAATAACATGGAAGAAGTTTCTAACAAAATACAACACATTATAAATACTTGTACACTAGGAAGTATGGTAACTTGTTTGGAGAAACAAGAAGTCTTGAGTGGTCAAAGGGAAGTAGAATTCCAGACTAAGAAGAAGCAAAAGAAAGAAGAAAAAGAAAGTGAGTAAGAGGAAAAAAAAAAAAAAAAGAAAAAAAAGAAAAAAATATATAGGCCAGCATTATCTAATAGGGAAGAGAAGGTGTACAAGAGGAAATATCAACTGAACTAGCTAATCAACAGGTTGATCATCAGAGCTGTAAACCCTCAAACTTTCCAACCATTAAGACCCAGTTTTGACTGTTAGTGTTGATTACTCAGGCTCAGGCCTCATTAGAGCTGTGGCTTCAAGCTTTTAGAACGTTGCAAAGTCATAATGCTATTTGTTAATTTGCAACATGGTTACTTTAAGCTGCACCAGACTCTGACACGAGTGGAACTGTCTGCTTGAACTGAAGAGCAGCAGGAAGCATTTCTTGCTATTCAGCAGTGTTCAGATATACAGGGCCAGCCTTAGCAGAAAGGACTGAAACTCTTGTTCTACCATTGGTTCTTTTCCATGCAATAGAATGAACCAGAAATAATGGTGACTCTATTTACTCTAATAAACTGCACATGTCGCATTGTGGTGCCCTTATGGGGAGTGGGAAGCAGAAGAGCTGAGGGTGTCCTGTCCTGCTCCTCCAGCTGCAGTCACCACCTTTGTAGAAGATGTCGGATCACACAGCTCTAAATGACTCATTCCCCACTGACATTTAGCCCCCCTTTATCTATAAGAGGCCAACAAGTTCCCTTTCCAGGTGGCATTCTGCCAAACTAAATGAGACAAGATTTTCAGTCTTTCTCCTGTAAGAGAGGCCTCACTTTCCCATCATCAGCACAGCCTTTTTCTGCACTCTAGTTTTTGTTTGTCTTTTCTGACCAGAGATGCTTTAACCATAAGGGGATTCCAGATGAAGCAGAGCCTGAAAGCCAGCTTGTCTCTGTTACTGTCACATTTCCCAAAGTTTATCATGCTCACAGGATGTAAATGGTCCATATACATCCTGTGACTAGCTTTCACAGTCATTCCCAGCAGATGAACCTATTGTTCCAAGCAGTCCTTTTATCTACTAGTCTTCTGTGCTCATGGCTTTCTATTTTGTGCTATTGATTTTTAGTGTTCCATTGAGTTTTAGGAGAACTGCTTATGTACCATCAGCTAGTTATCTTATTCACTCTAGTTTGCTGGCCTGACTATATCCCAGCAGGTCTGATGATACATTTATTTCACTTCCCTAGCTCTTCTGAATGCACATGTTGCCTCAGTTGTGGTATATTACATGCCTAGATGAGCAGCTGTGAGATTTAGGGATGCAGCTAATTGTTAGAGGTTTTTCAGGTTTGAGGATTCTTTTGATTCCCTTGTTTGCTTGTTTTTACTTTTGTAATACTGGGTTTGTGGTTTAGTTTTTTAAAAAGTGCCTTATAATCGAATGGATCCTTCCCATGATATCTGACTTTGCATGGGTTTTTATGAGTACAATAGCAATTCATGAAACTTATGTATGACTATCAACCTACATTTTGGGAAAGGCCTATTTTTCCAAAAGGGAAGATGAAAGTGTAAGATCAGCTTACATGGAGGATGAATTATAATGGATACTCCCATCTGAAAGCTATTACAGAATTTCATTTAACCTGTGTAAGAAATTTTTGTTCTAACTTCCGGCTTTAGAATTTTCATAAACCAGGTTATAATCCTTTACTCCTGGGCAGACATTCTTCAACACTCTCCCACAATAATCATACTTGTCTTTAACTAGCAAGGATAAGCAATCCAAGATCATTTAGTCTCCTGAAGTATGACAGAAACTGTATCAAACTGTTTTTACAGATAGCCCTTCTCTTCACCTATTCCAAACAGATCATATCCTTCTTAAAGTTTGGTGATCAGAACAATGAAGCAGAGCATTCTGGGTATGGTGTCACTATTGCTTTATGTAACAGCACTTAAATTTCACTACCTCTGCTCTAGACACCTCTTCTGATGTAACAGGTATGAGACCTTAACAGGCACAGTATATTCCTAGTTCCTACTCAAATTCACAGGAAATATTATTATACTTATGTCCTTCTCTTTTTGAGCCCTTTCTGATTCAGAAAGTTCTGGCTAGCCATATATTCCCATATATGTGGCCTTGCCATTTGCATTGTTGAATTTCACCCCATTTTGATTAATCTCTTCCTTAAGATTTTCAGAAAAATGACCTGTAGCTGTATTTGCTTACAACAAATTAGAAACACTCTATGTTTTGCATTCAGTCAAGAAATCTTTCTCCAATTTACCTTCAGCACTGCCAACTGGCAAATGGTCTTCACAATGCATTTTGAGATGCAGCACAACAAATTATATATCAACTAAATAAACAGCAAGGGCTTCTTCCTGTAAGTCCAGAAGTTTGTTGGAGTCAGCTGCCTGGATCAAACAGATGTTGAAATTCTCACATGTATGCCATTTTTTAATACTTTAAACAGCCAGAAGTTTTCTCACTCTGTACAAGGGTCAGTTAAGAAATGGAGAACAGACAGCATTTATCAGCTGACAAGTGGTCATACTACAACAGGATGACTATGTAGGTTTTCTGTTAGAGCCTTAGCTTGCTTTCTTTATTTTAGACCTTATGTATGGTTTCTTTTAAATGGTTATAATTTTTGATTGTCTGGAACAATAGTAAAATATTAAATTATAATAGTGTCATGGTTTAACCCTAGCCAGCAACTAAGCACCACGC